ATAGTAATCCATAGGGCTGTAGGAAATGATGCTGCTCTTTCAATAAGCTAGTCCTTCACAGAAAGGCTGCTCAGGAAAACCTTCTCTCTGTAGTAGGCTACAAACAAAAGGAGGAAACTCTTTGGCAGCTGTAGATACCTTCCATCTTTAACAGGAAGGAATAGGTTTGGCTGCTCTTAATCTTTGGCCTGAATTCTCATCTGCTTTTGTGGAGACTTTCGCAGGCAGCAGTGGAAGTTCTATGTTTAGTGTCTTTTGTCTGCGTACTGAGATTTGGAAGGTGAGCCTAGAAAGCAGCCAGACATGTAGATGAGGAAACAACAGCAGTATGTAGCAAATGAGGTAAGAGTTTAGGTTGATAAATTGATTTTCTTGTTACATCACTTTCCCTCCTGCTCCTTTAACCCAATCTAAAGGGAAAAGACAGGACCCAAATGAGCCTAAATTAGGAAACACTTTCATAGAAGTTTTTAGGGTTAGCTGCAAGACATTTAGGACCACTGGAATAGCTCTATTAGTAGCTTGTTGAAGGTCACTGGAGTGGAGCTGGCTGACGAGAACTCTTATTGTGCCAGCTTTGAAGGGCCAGGGAAGGTTTTCAGAACATCCATTAGTATCTATTCCATTAGGGGTCTGTATCACTGTATTCCCTGCTGGTGCAATGACCAATCTTGGGCAAACATCTCTGCTACTTCTGCCATTGTGACCCCTTTTTATTGCCTCGCCATTACAGATTAGGGATGATCTGTTTTCCATCCTCTCCCAAGGAAGGAAAGGCTTCTTTACTCACACAACAGTGTGGAAAAAGATGGAGAATTGAACCCAAAGACTAGAGGGCCAAGGACTCTCCAACCTGGAAATTTCAAGGTTTATCTATTTTCTGTTGACACAGAAACAGAGAAACAGCTTTGTGCAGTTGTAGATGCTAGCGCTCTCTTCTAATGCTCTTTTCGAAAACTTTATCTTTGAGGAGGAAATAATGATTGGGTAGATTTCATTCAACTGAGGAAACCTCCATGGAAAGAATATATTCCAGGGAACTTGCATAACTTATGGGTTGATTTTTTGGTTTTTGGTTTTTTTTTTTTTTTTACAAATCAGTATATTGTTCAGAGAGTATCATATGCTTAGTATGTCGAGCCCTATGCTTTAAGATATTTGTAATATTTAGGTATTTCTGTAAGTGTTTTACAGACATCTGCAGAGCGTTTTCATCAGCAATCTGACGCACCATAACAGAAATAAAACCTGTATGTATTAGGCATTGCCAGGTGTGTATAGGTATCTAAATGCATATATGTATTTGTGTGCATCTGTAAAATGCATCCTGTGTGCAGATAATAAAAGCATCCTCTCTGGGATTACGCTGTGACTTGCATACTTGGAGGAAAGGGTTGTTCTGAATAAAAAAGAACCTGAGCAGAATAGAGCAGAATTTACTGCAGTTGCTGTGGGCTTTCAAAGCAATGGCTGCAGTCAGAATCTGGCCTAAGTAATTAACTTACGAAGGATGGAAAGGAAAAGCAGCATGTGGAAGATGTAATTAATGGAAGATATAACAGTCAGCTCTCACATAATAAATGGGCAGCTATGCCTGAGGTAACTGCCTTTTATTTGCAAAATACAGTTGGAATTTTTTAAAAGTAATTGCACATTTTCTTCCATTTCCACGTGGTCCCAGAGAACACAGTACAGTACAAATACCAACAGGAATGCAATAAAAGCATGGTGGTTGTTGGTTTGGGGTTTGGTGTTTTTTTCCAGGCTCAGGGCTATGATCTTATTTGAGCCAATGTCCAAAGGAAAGGAGGAATATAATTTAGCTCAGGAAAAGACAAGTGGTAAAACATTTTAATGAGGTTTAATATGGAATAATCTAAAAGGATAAGGCAGGAACAATCAGAAAAAAACAACAGTAAATGGCTAGATATCTATTTGCAGAAGAGATTTAGTAATGCAATTCTCCGGTCGTGAGTAAATAATGGTTAAGATAAATGTTCTGAAATCCTTCCATTTTGAAGGCTTGAATTTTCCACGTTTGAAAGTTTATTGCGTCTTTTCCTGAATAGCAAGCATGACATCAGTTGTTCTTCAGATAAGCCACAGATGCTTGCAGATCTTCAAGAAAATGCATTCTACCACTTGCTTAGTGTAAAGCTCTGGAAGGTTGCAGGATGGCACAATGGTTCCCATCACCCAGTTGCAGACTCAGCAGACCCAAACGGCCTGTTGGATAAACAGCATTGTGGTCCTTCCTCTGGAGATATTTGCAAGAGGAAGGCGAGGAGGGCTTGCAGCTGGGCTTTGCTGCTGTGACCAAACATACAAGCTGCTAGACTTCTTAACTGCTGTTTCCAGGCTTCTCAGTGAAGCA